AAGGTCATGAATCAGTTTTATAGATGAAGTGTAACTATTCAGTAAACTGTGGTGTTGATACAACTATAAAACTGATTCATGACCATGAAGTGTAACTATTTTGTAAACTATGGTGTTGGTACAACAACTATAAAACTGATTCATGACCATGAAGTGCATCTATTCAGTAAACTGTGGTGTTGATACAACTATAAAACTGATTCATGACCATGAAGTGTAACTATTCAGTAAACTGTAATGTTGGTACAACAACTATAAAACTGATTCATCACCATGAAATGTAACTATTCAGTGAACTGTGGTGTAGGTACAACAACTATATCCCTTGATGTGGATTCCTCTACAAGGTGAGGGGACATCCCAGGGAAGGTTCTGTCTGTACAGTTTACCTACTCTGGGATCAAAACATCCATCCACCCACATGTTTGCCATGCATGACAGTCCATGAAGGGGAAGAGAGGTACCTGATGGTTGAGTGCTGTCTGAGCACTGCAACAAACCACTTTGGTCTTGAATTCCTGTAGACGGGTGACTCCTTGGGGTCAATTGGCTAGTTCTGTGGAGCTAGGGTCAACCAAGTGCCAGTATTGGATGTTCTTATGGGTGTTGTGGGCATTATGTCTGGTACTTGTTTGATGGTATAGTGCCCATGAAACCCTATTGTAGCTGCACTGTTCTAGTATAACAGTATAGTGCATCCCCTTGTAGGACTCCATGGTGGGTGAGATCAGTGGGTACCAAAATGCTATCATTTTATTATGGATATTAATAATACTGAAAATCAAAATAAAATGAGAAAAATACTGATTGGAAAATGGCCACAAATGGATGACTCAGATGGTGGTGACTGTAGAACAAACATTCCTGTACCTCTGTTTTTAATTCTAATTCTTTAGGGCAAATGTCTCCCTTTTTTCATCCAGAAGAGATTAAAGGGTCTTGCTGGCTCTCTTAAGTCAGTCAAGAAGTTAGATTCTGGGTATATCTTGGTCAAAACATTTATGCCACAACATAGCTACCTCCTTTTGAAATCTAAATCCATTGAGGATATTCTTGTTGAGGTTGCTCCCCATGCTTCTTTGAATTCCTCAAGAGGAATGATTATTGAGAGAGACATGCTTACAATTCCCGAGTTGGAAATTCTTGCTAGTTTCTCCAGCCACGGAGTTTCTGCTGTGCAATGTATTTTAACTCATAAAGATGAAATAATGCAGCTTGCTCAAGTTTTTATTTTGATGTTTATATCTCCACGTCCACATGCATCAGAAGTGAATTACATCCCACATAAATCTGGTTGTCATCCATGTAATAAGGCCAGTTGTCTAATCTGCTAGTTCATAAAAACCACTGACTCGTTTTCAGACAAGCACACTCAAAGAAACTTTAAAATATCCAAAGAAATCACTTGTGAAACAAAAACCACCATTTACCTTATACATTGTAAAAAATGCAATCACCAATATGTAGGACATACACAAACAACTCTTAGAGAACGTTTCAACAACCATAAATCTTCTATTGACACCGAAAATGATCTCACTGTTGCTCAAAACTCAACCCAGTCATTTCATTAGCCATGTCACTCTCACTGGCATTGAAACAGAATTCAAAACTAAAGCAAATAGGGAAATAAAAGAAGCTTATTGGATTGCTAATCTAAACACTGTTCAACCTTTTGGAATTAATCTAGATCCTGTAATTTGAACACTGAATTTCCCAAAATTTACTATTTATTTAAGATAATTTTCCATACCAGTTTTTGAAACTGATCAGCATAACATATCTTTTTCAATCAGTCTCTAGGTATCACCTTTATTTAACTTGTATATATACATATATTTATCCATTTCTAAAGTAAAATATCCCTAACACCTTTTCACATACACTCTCGCCATTGGCTACATTGTACCAGAACTGAGATGCTTACAACAATACATAGAAAATAGACTAAACATTTCCTGGAAAACCAGATGACCTTCATGACATCACTAAACTCCCTTCATATTTCCAGGTTAAGTAATTAACACACAGGATCACCTACAAAAGTTGTAATATTTTCAAAACCCGAGCACTTTTGAATAGTTGACTATTCTTCGGAAGAATTTTGGGTCTCGTTTTGAAAATATTACTCCCTTTATATATATATCACTCATTTGATTACTCCACAATTCCCAGTTTGCCCCTGAAGCAGAAAGCTCCACCTTTCGAAAGCGCTCAGGTTATAGGGTTTTTATTCATTTCTGTTATTATTATTATTATGGATATTGTATCGTAATATCTGAGGCAAGCTGAAAGAGTGTCATCATAAAATTCAAAGAATCATGAAATGTACTGATGGTTGACAGATGAAAATATTCTTTAGGTTGCAGCCATAACAAGATGTGAACTCATTTCTGTTTTTCAGTACCCCAACCAAGGACATAATAGCTTATTAATTGGTACACCAAGTTCTAAAGTTCCCACCTTAACGCTGCAAGCTCAACTTTATTGAAATGGTTTGTGTTCAAGCGAAAATATTGGTGTGAAAGCAAAATCCTACCTTTAAGCTATAACAGAATCTGAGGAAGACTTTTGCATCTAACTTAATTAATAAGTAACAATTCCCAATTGTCTCAAGACATTCACTACAAATCATGAAATATTCTTCAAAGTTAATTTTGTTCTGTAACGAGCATGAAAATATCCAGGTTTCACTATATGTTAAAATACTATTTTAGAAAATGTAAAGAAATTAAATGTAGATGAAGCTATTTCTAATTTAATTATCTTGAATTGTCGTTTTCATCTATTGAATGTATTTTAATGGATGAAGAATAGTTTCTTTTTTTTTCAAAAGCTTGAGTACCAATAGAATGAGGAAGTAGTCTATTCATAGTCTTCAGTGTAATAACCTCCACTCCTGATTATATACATGTACTGAAGCCTCACCTGTCAACTGTGAAATAATAGACAGACTAGTAGTATGATAGTTGTTATGGTTAAGTAATACTGTTCCAGACTAAAAAACATAGTGTTATTAACACACCACAATCTTCCACTTAGTACCGAGAAACAGCTATATAAACATCAGCAAAACTTATGTCAGTAAATAATAAAATTAATAAGAAATATTGTTATGAAGTTATTTTGGAAAATATGAATTAAAAATATAGTTGCAGGGATTCGTAAGACTCTGCATTGATTGCAAGCTTTAAATTACTGACCCATTTTTTTACAATGTTCATTACTGATTGAAATACTAAGCTGTTTTCATACTACTGATAGCAGTACTAGCCTGCTTTATATTACTGGTGGAATTACTGACCCATTTTTATATTACTGGTGGAATTACTGACCCATTTTTATATTACTGGTGGAATTACTGACCTGTTTTTATACTATTGGTGGAATTACTAGCCCATTTGTATATTACTGGTGAAATTGCTGACCTGTTTTTATATTACTGGTGGAATTACTGACCTGTTTTTATACTGTTAATGGAATTACTGACCTGTTTTTATACTGTTAATGGAATTACTGACCTGTTTTTATATTACTGGTGGAATTACTGACCTGTTTTTATATTATTGGTGGAATTACTAGCCCATTTTTATACTATTCACTGTTGGTGGGGTCCATATTTTGCATCATATTAAATAATTTTACGTGATTGTTTATCTAACTTTCCAATACAGAATGAGGAATGGACGAAACAGCATCTCGGTGAAATGCAAATGAAACTGAAGAACCAGGAACAGATGTACGAAGAACTCAGAAACCGCACAGAGGAAAAGTTGGATAGGTTGCTAAGTTTCTTGTGTTCCACTGTTAATAAAAAAAATATTGTTATGTAACCAAGACTATTTTAACTTATAAGTATGTTGATCAAGGTTTTGTTAACAAGAGTATTCAAGGCTAGATTTTAACTTCATGCAATTGGATTGATTTAGATTTTCTTAACAAAGGTTTTCAAGGTTAGATTTTAACTGATATAAGAGTGTTGATTTAGGTTTTGTTTGTTAACAAGGGTTTTCAAGATTAGATTTTAACTTAATATAAACTGGCTCTGTAAGTTCTATTTTATTAGGTTATTTTGAATGTTTGGTACTATTTTAGGATGTTTTTATTCATTAAAATGTGCTGGTTTTTGTTAATTTATTTGTTGGCAAACTAAAACAGATCTGTCTTGAATAATGCTTGGTAGTGTGAGATTTCAACTATATTTTAAAGTGAACCTCCTTCTAGTAAAATTGGCTTTTATCTTAATTTAATTTGATTGTGGTAAGTATTTAATAGAATCAAATTATTGATAGTTATAATTGTCTGTTTAATGATTCTAGTATACTATCACTTGTTGACATAAGGTTAAAACAAAATTTTAAATATTTTTAACATCTAAATTATGCTGACTGGTACTGAAAGAAGGTGCAAACTTTTTATATACAGTGCTAATTTGGTGATAGAAAATACCAAGAGGGTCACTGAAGCAGAAAAAACAGCCTTAACAGTACAGCTTAAGAAAGCAGAGATGAGAATAAGCAGCCTTGAAAACAATTTGGAACATAAGGTAGAGAGGTTTATTTCTGTGTTATATGTAATGTTTGGTTACATGTGGAGAAGTTTGGGATGTAGCCTATTTAAAAAAAAGAGTTGCTTGTGTAGGGAGTGTTTTGAAAAATAAGTTGGGAGGTTTTAAGTAGTAAAAATATATGATTGCTTGTACAGATAGTGTTTTCAAAATAAGTTGGGAGTTTTTAAGTAATAGAAAAAGGGTCACACATGTATGGAAAGTTTTGAAAATTTGTTGGGAATTTTATGTAGTAGAAAGAGGGTTACTTGCACAGGAACGATTTTGGAAAATGGTTCAGAGTTTTTATATTTTAGAAAAAGAGGGTTGCTTGTGTAGGAAGAGACTTGGAAATTGGTTGGGAATTTTTATGTAGTAGAAAAAGAGGATTGATTGTGTAGGGAGAGATTTGGAAAGTGGTTGGGAATTTTTGTATAATAGAAAATAAGGGTTACTTTGTTGGATGAGACTTGGAAAGTGGTTGAGAGTCTTTTGTCGTAGAAAAAGAAGGTTGTTTGTGTAGGGGGATTTGTAAAATGAGTTGGGAGTTTGTTTGTTGTTTTTTGTCGTAAAAAGGAGTCTTTCTTGTGCAGGAAAAGTTTTGGAAAGTTATAGGGGAATTTTTATGTAGTAAGAAAAGTTATCACTTAAAACTTTGAAAACCATTATGAAGTATGATTTATTGAATATTGGGGCAACTAAGAAACTTGTAAATCTTTGTTTACCAACTAAAACACTCCTCAGAAATAATTACTGATAACTTTGTCTTATTTTTCTCAGACCTGTGAAAACACCAAGTTGTCAAATATCTGTGATGAGCTTATTGCCAAGGTTGGGAAGATATAATCACCAGAAGTGACTAGCAAAAACTATTGTTACTGGAATTTCTTTCCACAGATGGGCTTCCATGAAAATAATAATCTAACATTCACTTGTAATGACACTGACAAACTAATATATATATATATATATATATATATAGATTTTCAATTGTTTTGGGTAACTTTATACCTTGTTATATAAATATTTTTTCTTAATGGATAACTGGTTTATTGTACAATCATTGTTGCCCAATAATGACTAATGCTTTAGGAACTTGTATAGAATATTTTGTTGCCTATATGATTTCCTAAGTGTTAAACATTTATTATTTGATAGATGGCTTAATTAATCAATATTAACTATACCAAAATGTGAAACATTTTAGTTGTATCTTAAAACGTTTGCCGTAGTGAAACGATTATGTATTTCAAAATGGTTGGTTTAGTACGGTCTAGAATTTTGTCTGAACATCTACAAAAACTCAACAAAAAAGGCAAAATATTTATATTTTGACTTATGTGTAATGAAGAAAGTGTCTTCACTGGCATACTAGAAAAGATCTGTTTTAATGAACTTAAACATAAATTCTAACCAATACATTTGTTTCAAAATATGGAAAAACTAACAAATCTTGCAACTTTTTTGCATCTTAGGTCTTGATTTTTGATTAAATAATTTGGTCTCTTAGGGATATCTAAATGATATACTGAAGAATAATGTGCCATCATTTCTTTGGTATAAGTTTTATTTATGTGTAGTTATTTACCAGCACAATCATGTACATAAATATATTAGTGTGTATTGCTTATTTTATTGTATACAATATTGTATGATTTCAAAATTAATTTTATCCAAAACTGTTAGTGGGCAGAAGATTAGGGGGTTAGTCATCTCTCAGTTAATTTTGTAGTATAAGTTCTGTGTTGGTTGGTGTTATAATTCTTCTGGAATTTATATAAAAATAAAAACTTTTTTTTTCTTTATTGAGTTTAATTTCTGATTAGTCAGTAAACAGAAAAGCTTCCCTACTTTTATGAAGAAACTAATGCTGATATAGAAGAATTGAGTCTGATCTCTGATTAGTCAGTAAACAGAAAAGCTTCCCTACTTTT